GGCCCCAGAGCCGGACGCGGTGCCCCGGGTGGGGGGGGGAGGGGGTCTCACCAGAGCGGAGCAGAGGGGCAGAATCCCCTCCCTCGCCCCGCTGGCCACGCTGCTTCGGATGCAGCCCAGGGGACGGTTGGCCGCCCGGGCTGCGAGCGCACGTTGCCGGCTCGCCTCCAGCTTTTCATCCGCCAGCGCCCCCAAGCCCTTCGTCAATCGTATCCGGCCACGCTGGTCCAGAAGCAGCAGCGTCCTTCTGCCAGGAGGAGTGTTTGGCATCCTCCGGCTGCTGGTGCCCGAACGGGTCCTCACACCCCTGCAACCCCCTCCTCCCAGTTACACCAGTTTCCCCGTACGATCTTGCCTGCTGGAGGCAAGGAGCGATGCCCGTTTCGGGGCGGGAAACGAGTCCCTTACCCGAGCGAGAGGAGTTGGAGCCGGAGGAGCTCCCGGCACCTCGGCAGCTTCTCCACCGTTTCCTTTTCCTCGTCCGCAGCCTCAGGAGGGGTCTCGCCAGTTGCTCCTCTTCCTCCTCCTCCTCCTCCGAGCTCCGGATGTCGGGGATCCAAACCTCCTCCCCTTGCTCCAGCCGAGCGAGCAGGTCGGGGTTATACGCGGGGAAGCCTGCTCGGGTAAGACAGTGGCGGATTACTGGGCAGATAACAACCGTCTGCGATGCCTCGTCGCAGGAGACAGAGGCGTGACCTTAAAACTCATCCCTCTTCATAAAAGAGAAAGAAAATCCAGGTGCTCCCCGGGGAGGGAGGTCCCAGCAGGGTTTGCTGAGGGTATCTACACGAGCTTTCCAGGTGACGGGGAAGGCATCCCAGGGAAGAAGCAGCTTGAACCAGAGAGGAATCGGCCCCGAGACCACTTTTCGAGGAGACAGAAAAGCCCGGTGAGACGAAGAGCAGCTGAGAATAGGCGGAGATTGTCCGTCTGGGAAGACGCGGGGGATATCGAGCAGGAGGAAAAGGAAGGCTGGAAAAACCCAGGAGTAAAAGCAGGCGCGCCAGCCGCACGGCTCGGGTGCCTCTCTCGCCCGTCGACCTGCTCCCCGATTTTACCTCGAGAAAAAGCCCTGTTAGGGGCCGGGCGGACAAGCCGCGCTCCCAAATTAAGGGGTTGCGTCCTGGTAAATCAGACACTTGGGTCCGTTGAACATCTACTCCAAGAGCAGGACGTTGGAGAAGGAGCACGTGAAGGAAGAGGCGACGCTCGAGGACCGAGCGGCGCGTGAAAGGGTGGCTTTTATCCGCTACGTCAGCGCCCTTCGAGGCTGAATTGTTGCCATTAATTATTTCTTAGCCGGAGCAAGCTCAGCGTGCCCGAGGACGGCACGGTCTTCTCCTGGGCATCAGCTAGAAAATCAGCGGTAACCTGAAAGGTTAAGCTGAAAAGGGTAAGTACTGATGCTGCCCAGCCCCAAAATCAAATCAGATTTGGGAAACCTGCGCTCTGGTGAGATTAAGTTCGTGGTGATTCATCTTACCACCAAGCAGCTCCCAAAGCCACGTGAACCGGACCCCGAAGCCTTCCCGCACCCACCCCGGTCCCCTAAAAACTCGACTCGAGTCCGCTTCCCGTCTTGCCCTCTCCCCTCCCGGACCCCGCGACTCACGTCTCGGGGGCTGGGAGATGGAGATGGAGACCTGGGGGGGGACTTCTCCATCCCCCAGAGCGTCTCCTTTCGGGTGGCCAGGAGCTGTCAGGAGAGGGCACTGTGAGCCTCCGCGGCCCCCCCCCCGCGGCGGGACACCCCTCCAAGCACATCGCCGCCCGGATTTTTAACCGATTTCTGGCAAGTCTTACTGGCGGCGGAGGTGGGAGAAGAGCATCCACCCGCCCAGGCTGGGGTGCTTGGAGCGCCCCGAGGGGTGTCCGAGGGATTCGGGTGTTGCGGAGAGCACCCGCTGATCCCACCCGCCTCCTGTCGAGGGTGAAGACGGGGCTTTAGGGGTTCAAACCGAGTACTCGGCCGAGCTTCTTGGCCAGCATTAACTAAAAACGCCGAATCGCAAAGCCTCGTGCAGGGAGGAAGCCGAGGCAGCCCCGCGAGCCGCCTCCCAGAGCCGAGCAGGGGAACCCCGGCGAGATTTAGGGCCGGTCCCGCGGGCGTCGCCTTCGCCTTCCCCGGCGTCG